GTGTCATGATTTTTCGTGATTTCGCGGAGTTTCTCGTTGTCTTCGTGCTCCAAAATCTGAACTATCCTCCATTTCGTTGCAACTAGCATACCGAACTCATCTGCGTGTCTCGTGTGGCGAAACACTTTCTTGGCGTTCGCATTCATGAGACAAAGGCGAGACCGCCAGTGCTCCAACCAAGTACTATTCGACAAAAAAGCGAGATAGCATCGAGTGGGAGCGAGATGGAGCAACTACGGGAATCCCAGGCACGTTCATACTTTCGGATGCTGGCAATTCGACCCCCGTGTGTGAATGAGTCGCTCGTAATCGAAGCTTCAAAGAGATGCCAAATCTGTATACGTGCGTCGATACCATCGCAAAATAAAATTCGTTGTATCGTTAATTGTTATAGATGCTTGCGCGAGTAACGTTAATCGAATTCAAACAGACTGTTTTTAATTTCAATTTGTTCGAGTCGTTTCTGAAAAATTTAATGGAGAAGCGATCTCGGGAAAAAAACAGAGCGAACCGCCTCGATCGACTCAATTATTTTCGTAACCAGTGGACGAATCAAATTTTTTTTTTATCTAGTTAGGTGGTCCACTCTGTATATATTTAGATTATCGAACGATAGTCGAATTTGTTTTTTAATCCGCTGCGATACTACGAATAATATCGGCATTTAAATCGACGATTTAAAATTTGTAGGTTGTTACGACGATCGACATTCTGTACAATTTTGTTGATCCCGTTCGCGTGTTATTGAAACATCGATGGAACACGTTAATTGAAAATGTTTCGTTCGTAGAACGAAGCTAATCTTTTACGCAAATGTAGCTGCTAATGTCTATAACTTCATAATTTCGTTCAGATGGTGTAATTCTGTTATCGATGCATCGAAGTTACATTTATCGGCTATTAACTCCCCCCCTCGACAGAATTCGATAGTTTCGCGGCGATTCCACCTCGAATCGAATCCGTTCCGCAGTTAATTACTACTTTATGCGCCCCCTTCCTTGTTCTAAGTTTATTCGAGGGAAAACAACCCCGTTAACTTTTTTCCACCCCCGCTCTGTAAAAGAACAAGCTTCCCTTTCGCGCAGTGTCATCAAACCGACACGATCGGCGAAAATTCTTCATGAATATTCAAATTGACGAGGATTGAATCGGGAAAAACAAACCCAGTGACTCGGTCGCATTCGGAAGAAAACGCACATTTCCATTCATTCGAGAATTATGACGAGTTCCCTGGACTCTGGGAATTTTCGAAGCAAAGGTTCTTCGTGTTTACACACCATTTAATTGAAACAAATACAATTTTTTTAACAATGTTTCACTCAGAATATTTTCATATTTCGAGGCGCCTTCCCGAGCGAAAAAATTCGGAAGAAAACGCATATTTCCATTCATTCGAGGATTCTGACGAGATCTCTGGACTCTGAGCTTCGTGTTTATGCACCGTTTAATTGGAAAAACTACAATTTTTTAGTAATGTTTCACTCAGAATATTGCCATGTTTCGCGTCACCATCCCAAGCAAAGAAATTCGGAAGAAAGCGCACATTTCCAATCGTTTGAGAATTATGACGAGTTCCCTGGACTCTGGGAATTTTCGAAGCAAAGGTTCTTCGTGTTTACACACCGTTTGATTCAAAAAAATACAATTTTTTTAACAATGTTTCACTCAGAATATTTTCATATTTCGAGGCGCCTTCGCAAGCCAAAAAATTCGGAAGAAAACGCATATTTCCATTCATACGAGGATTCTGACGAGATCTCTGGACTCTGAGCTTCGTGTTTATGCACCGTTTAATTGGAAAAACTACAATTTTTTAGTAATGTTTCACTTAGAATATTTCCATGTTTCGAGTCACCTTCCCGAGCGAAAAAATTCGAAAGAAAACGCATATTTCCATTCATTCGAGAATTATGACGAGTCCCCTGGACTGTGGGAAATTTCGAAGCAAAGGTTCTTCGTGTTTACACACCGTTTAATTAAAAAAAATACAATTTTTTTAACAATGTTTCACTCAGAATATTTTCATATTTCGCGTCACCTTTCCAAGCAAAGAAATTCGGAAGAAAACGCATATTTCCATTCATTCAAGGATTCTGACGAGATCTCTGGACTCTGGGCTTCGTGTTTATACCCCGTTTAATTGAAAAAATACAATGTTTTAGTAATGTTTCACTCGGAATATTTTCATGTCTCGAGGCGCCTTCCCAAGGAAAGAAATGAAACGAAACTGAACAATAAGGGTTAAAGAATTTGTTGAAGAAGATGGCGTAAAACTCATCTGAGACTCGAGCCACCTAGCTAATGTCGCATTACCGCTTTTGCTTCGTTAAAGAAAGAAAGAATGCGAGTCGGAGTACCAGAGAGAGAGAGAGAGAGAGAGAGAGAGAGAGAGAGAGAGAGAGAGAGAGAAAATACGAGACAGATAGTACTCCATGGGTGGCAACCTTGCCAGTGTCTTTTATTTAGCCGACAGAGTTGTCCCCCAGTGACAATGCTCTTTTGCCTGAAAGCGATATTTCAGGACACATGCCCCTATGCGACGGAAAGTATTGTAATGACTGGCGGAGAGTATGCTAGGGAGCGATCCTTTCTTTCTGGAACACACTATAGGCGGGAATGTGGCATTAGGTGGGTCGTACGGACCTTCAGCTTTGCACTTAGGCTCTACGCTAATCTCAACTCCCTTTAATATAAAGAGAAAAGTAATATTTGGACTTAATATTTATCCTTGTCCTCGCCATAAATAAACCCTGATACTTTAATAACCCTGAAACTTTTGAATAACGTTTAACCCCTTGCAATACAATAACGAGTCTGACTCGTTACAAGCTCTTGATGTCAAGCTTCACAATCATGGGGTTACTCACTCATCGTCGAGTCTTGTATATTAAAATCTGTTGAAAATAAGCATTGCATGCACGTATTTTTAATGAAAATTTGTACCCATTGGAGCAGCCCCCTCCCTTGCAAAGGTCAGTACTACCTGAGGAGGATACTCGTTTATTGCACCCCCTGATCATCTTTTTTTCCGAGCCTCAAGCTCGGTTAGCAGAAAACCGTCAAGCTAAGAACAGCATTTTCGTTTTGAAAAACTACATTAATTAAATAAATACTTGAAACTCTGTTGTATTTATTTAGCAAATAAACATTCAACAAAATCAACACACTTTTACATTGACGAGGTATTCGTGAAACAAATCTATTCTTTTTTTGTGGCCATTCTTTGCACGAACTAATTTATATAAAATTGAAGTGTATACGATTGAAAAATTATTTGAAATTCGATCGTACGCCTCGTATTATATTCAACGCGTTGAAAAATGAATAAAATTAATAGAACGGACCGAAATAGTCACTTTTTCGTTTTCTGGATGTCTTTTTAGGGGTTTCCACTCGCGTGGGAAGTTGGATGCGAACAAACTCCGAAATCTTTTCCCTCGATATGTACTTTGTATTCTTCGGCCTCTCTACGTTGCATCGAGAGTCGTATGTTTTCCTGAAAGGCTGAGTGTGACAAATCGACCACACGTTTCAGCGCGGTGCTGCTTTCAAATGTGAATTTTATGTTATCGAGCACAGTTAAATACGTACCTACGCTGGCAACTTAAATATTTGCAGTTTTAGGAACACGGCTTATTGGAATCCTTCGCTTTGTAAATAGGTTTTCTTTATTTCAGCCCTTTTACGATTCTGCACTCTGCCATAAGCAATATGTCCTTTTTTTAGAACGTTCTTTGAAACGCAACTGCTGCGTAGAAATGGAAAACTGAGAATATCGAGATCGAGTATAAAATATAAAACGCGGAAACGCGGAGAGGTTATTTTTATTATATTCTAGTTATTCCGGACGATGTTTAAAAAATGTGGATTTAATAACAATGAAATTAATTAAATGAATTTTTCATGGAAAGATACCGTATATTATACCGGAACGGTGAATGTTAGATAAATTTTGGAATTTAAAGTTCTATCACTGTTGAACCGACATAAAGTTAACTAAAAAACAGACAGGTACTTTTTTAATTTCATATTTCCACAGAATCCTCCATAAAGGAAAATTGCTATCACTTAAAAACAGTATTAAACTCTTATCTCTTTAATATATTTAAATTTTAACAATTTATATTCGATTCAAGTAATTTTACGTGCAGTAGATTCTCGTATAATGTACATAATCTAGTATAACTCGTGTTGTGTAAGAACTTCCCTCGTATAACGCGAATAATATAAAATAACATGTTCGGAACGATTATTGTCGCGTCAGCTTTTATTTTCTATAAAACGAAATATCGATTTTTTTAACCCCGTTACATGAGAATCCCCCCTCCCCCCCTTCCCTCTTGAACCACTACAGTTTCCAAACTTGATAAACCTATAAACTTTCAGGATCTTCGTACCAGTTATTCAGAACAGAGGTTCTTTGTAACAGTTTCGATCAGAACTTTCGAAAGAATTATTTTCGTGGATATTTCCCAAGCGCGAGTGTAAAGGGTCCGTTGCGTTTTTATTCGAAGAAACTAATTGATACGGTAAAACCAGTACGCGGAACGCGGTTCCTGCGATATATCCATCCGCAGAGTATATCCGGAATATCCTCACCGTATACGGTGCAAAGGGCGATCTCGAAAAAGAAGAACCGCTCTCTCGAGCATTCCTCGAGATCGAAATTCTCAAGATCGGGTCCTTTGTTCGAGAACCGAAGCTGCTCCAACTCGGGACAAAGATCTTTTTTCTTCACGCGTATACTTCCCTCCACCCCTCCACCCAACCCCACCCCTCCTCACGTCCGTAGAAGTACACACACGAGATTACGATTCGACTGGCGACGAGGGCAGCTGGGCCCTTCTCGCGTGCCATTATTTCGCGAGGAATTATGAGAAAAGTCGCCCCCCCCCCCTCTCCACCCTCCCCACAGACGGAAGACGATAAATAACGATCGAAAGTTAACGAGTCGTCGGGATTAAGATCGAGGAAGAAAACGGTTCGCGAAGGACACGTACCTGCTGGGCAATTGCATGCGGGGAGGTCTCGTTTGATCCGAAAGGCGCTGAGCTCCGGCGTGTAGCGACGGACCTTGATCTGCTGCTGTACTTCCCTCTTCAGCCTCTGAATAATGACGTCCGGCATTTCCTGGCGCTGACAGCGAGCCTCCAAGTTGGCGATTCTAGACTCGAGTCCTAGTTCCCTGTACATCAGTAGACCGGACACGGCCAGGCTGATGATACAGAGGGCGCACATCGGCCAATTCATCGTGGCACCCTCCGTTCGCGAGGAATCCTTACGAAATTTCCTCATAATCGACGTGACGAAGGAGACCTTTCTCGTCGACGACCGGTCGGTCGACGTTCCGGACTCCATGTTGTGCACGATCGACACACGCTCGATTCTATTCGTGCACGGACCGCGTTAAGCGCGCGTCATAACCCGCCCGACGACCGTCGATACGTCCTGACACGACAATGACAGGTAACCGCGACGCGACAGAGAAACCACGCTAATCTTACAGACGGTGCGGCGTCATCGTCCATCTGGAATGCATCTCGCTTGCCCGCTTCCCCGTTATCGCTTACCTCTCTTCCCCTCCGGCCGTTTCTCGCCTTTTAACTCACGGAACACGCGTTCTGCGAGCCTTCCTCCTGTACCTTCTCCCGGCGTTTTAATCCCTCCCACCGTGGCCGACCCGACGAGTCCTAGGCCTAACCGCACTGACGTTGGTAAACAATGAACGGTGTCACCCAGCCGAACGGTTTCAATCGCGAAACGGCCCGCTCCAATCTTTCGCTATCCTCGTAGAAAATCGCCGCGATCTGACTAGGCGGCCGACGGCGGACCGTTTGTTCCTTTATACCTCTTCTATTTTCGTCTATCTTGCTCTCCGTACGTCTTGCTCTTCCTGTTGCCGCTGCCACAGCAAATCGAGCATCACCCGGCGTTGTCGCATCGCGATTTCTCCAGCGGCGCACGCCACACTCTCGATCGGCGAACACGAGCGGAAAACGGCGAGATACCCGGCACAACGACCGTTTTCCGTGGCTCTTCCCTTCGTGTCGCACGCTACGGTACAAGGAACGAGGAAAAAAACGAGCGACAGCTGTGCGACTGGGCAACGAAACGACCGTGAACCACGATCGCCGAGAGCTCTGGCCCCGGCCCACAAAGGCTTGTTACGCGGAAATCGGCGAACGAAACGTGCACTGATGCGACGAGCAGGTTCGATTTACTGGAAGAACGGAAAAGTCCCGAATTACTGCAAATACGAAGCTCCCGGCGTGGCATTCGCAGTACGACTGGATGTGGTGGGGCGACGCTCCGCCGAGAGCCGAGGGTTCGTCGCTTCGGAGACACTCGGGGAGATTCGGCCGTTTCCGCGGAACGACTCATCCACCGGCTGCCGGACGCGTGGAGGACGATCGGTCGACCTATCGTCCACTTCCACTCGCACTGATTCGCCCCTGCTACCCTTGCCCTTTCGGTTACCCCTCCCGTCTTTTCATCGGTCCACCGGATTTTCCTAAGAATATCGCGGTGAAGGATTACATCTTAAGATTATAGGTTACCATTTTCATCAAACAGCTTGCGTACCAATTGATCGTATTCACACTTTTGCGAATCAAGTTCTTTTACGAATTTCTTTTCTGGTACCATTCTAATGGAAACAAAATATAATGCGATGTTCTTAGGGGTATAGAGAGTCTGGAAAATATTCTATTTCGGTTCTAGTATCCGTTTTATTTCGATACTACGTATATCAGTAATGGTTCTAATATCGATTATATTTCGACGCCATTTCGGTTCCCTTTCAATTACGATTCTAGCGTCGGTGGTGGACGACATTATACGTTACTCGTTATTTTATCACACATTGCGCAAAGTTATTTGTTAAAATTCAACCCAGCAAGGGAAATTAAATACTTTTAATATGTGCAAAGAGAAAAAAACAACAGTTTTTTTTTATATACTCTCCGCTATGAAATACAATATCATTTAAATGACCACAACATGGAATGACTGCGCTTGGTATAATACGATAAACCCAATTTTCGATGACTCTGCCACACAAATCTGATTCTATTTCATCCATGACAGGAACGATGTTTGCATCGGGATCGTTAATAGTTTGTGGTTTATTGGAACAAACAACAACAAATGATTTTCCCACCGACCCAATATAACTTTTCTTTCCGCGATACTAAAATCTGATTAGGAAGGTTTTCTGGTTAGTTTAGAAAATGTCTGGAACGTATTTTTCGTTCGAAGATAATGAGTTAATACGACAAGTTCAATCTGAAGAGGTGGAATGATATGAAATTATAATGGGCTGAACGAAACGGTAATTGAAAAAAAGCAGTTATATTAGGAAATATCGATTGGCGAATCGATTGTATTCCTAGAACCACATCCCCCGTGTGTGTACGTGACGGATACACACAATCGACCCCTTACTACCGCCCAATCTCTAGCACAGGAAGCGATTATAGACTACATCCTGGAACGTACGTTCGGCGTATTCGCTCTCTGAGCGTATACTAAATCGAATGCAGTAGCAACCTACTAATCGCATAACTAGTAAACCGACAAATCACAGATGCACGACTAGAAGGGAAATAAAACAGTCGAAATGGTAAAATCGATTCGAGATTATTATTTCCGGATCCATTCTCCGGATTAAAAAGACGTTCCACGAGAGTCTCGATACAATATTATATATATAATAACTATATCTGATTCTATATTCACTTTGAATTGCAATTTGTATATTTACTGTTTATCTTTTGCTATTCAAAAAATTCAATATTCTGCGTAATAATAATAATAATAATATCGCTTTATTAAAGGGTTACTACTCTGATTTAATGTATAGCAAATAATAGAATAAAGCATTAAGAGTGTACAAATTAATTAAATTGATTAAGAGGTACAAATTAATTTTTAAAGACTGAGTCAATGTGAAGTCCGAAGGTGGTGTCTGTTACAAAGAAATTAATCTCTATACTCATAATAATATCGCTTTATTAAAGGATTAGTACTCTAATTTAATGCATAGCAAATAATAGAATAAAGCATTAAGATTGTACAAATTAATTAAATTGATTAAGAGGTACTAATTAATTTTTTTAAACTGTGTCAATGTGAAGTCCGAAGGTGGTATCTGTTACAAAGAAATTAATCTCTATACTCATTTTGAATATGTCATTATCGCGTTCTACAAAACCAAATACCATCGAGGTATTCTATTACGATCGATGAATAGGAACCACAGAACCTAACTGCTGACTCCGGCTCATTAAATTCGTAGAACCTTTCCGACCAAGAAACGTTATCTCAGCAGAACCAACTAGGAGCCTTTGCTTCGCATTAACGTCACGGAGTATCGTTCGAACATAAGTTATGCGTTAAACTAAAGAGAAAGTATCGTGATTAAAACACTGTGGCTGATCGTTGCATTCCATTCCGTTGTCCTTTTCGATGCCCTTGGAAACACACCGCTAGGCTCTAATTTCCACCCGGCCAAAGGGAACACGTGAAAAGCATTTACCTAATCTCGAGAACCGAAAGACTTAAGACTTAAATCCTCTTCAGCTTCGTATCTGGGCTAAAAGACACCGGCTATTTTACTTTAATTACTAAATGCGTCCTGAAATTTTATAGAAGTATTAAACTTTAGTGCCAACGAACGTAATGAAAATAAAAACAGGGTCGAGTATCGTATCGGTAAAAACAGTTGGATACGAATGAAAATGGAACCGATTGTTTAAGTTTGGGCTGGTTTAGTTACCATTGAGACATTTACCTTGGTTGTTCGGCGCGTAACACGGATGGGGAACGATTGTGCTCCGCGATTGGAGGCCTGGGGCAGATAATGGACCACGTTGAGAACCTCTGGGAACGGCAAACCGTGGTTCGAGGGGTGAACTTCCAGCGTGGCTCGTGATTAAAAAGTCATCGCGGCCGATGCCCTCTTCACGGCACGTTGGTCATCGTTGGGGTGCGGTATGAGGCGCATTATGTCGCGTTTCCGCCAGGAAGCAGGCGCAGTCGGGACAACAGCCTGCACCTCGTTTCCGTTCGCTCTGAGAGAACGTGCCTTGCGGATACTGGGAACAAGGATGAAGATACGCGATAAGAACGCGTACAAGCGGGATACCTATAGGCGACACGACGATAACAGAAGGAAAGAAGAGTGGGAAACGAAAAGTAAAACCGGTGAGAAACAACGGCAGAGGTAGAGACGGACACGTTCCGCGACGCTGAAGCAGACTCTCGTTTCGGGGGCGAATCCGAAACCGACCCGCGAATGTGTCTGCACGTGCTGGAGGGGTGGGTGTAGCGCAGAAACAAAATGGTGGGGGGGCCAAAGGGAGACAATGCGCAGTTTGTATTCTGCTTCGTGCGTTACACTGTATACCTACGAGCGCCAAGACTCGTCATCCTGGACCATGGTTTCCCCGCTTACGCGTCATCGATACAAATTTTATCCACGATAAAAGTTGGATAAGCACCCGAACCGATCTACGGACATAAGTGCCCCGGTTGTTCATCCCCACCAGCCAGGAGAGATTCCCCTTGACGCACCAGAAAGCTCGGTTCAAGTGTTATGGTTTTTTTTTTTATCCGCCTCCACTCACGGACTTCTCTTTCTCTTTCGCTCTCTGTCCTCTTCCACGTTCAACAGCCGACTCGAGCCGTTTCTATAATTAGAATCGATACCTCTACTCCATAAGTGCTCGACTTTAGGTCCCGATTTTCGAGCATTTATCCAACTTTTAGTAGTTCGAATATATTTCGAGTGCCTCGTAACGATCAAGCGTTTTACCGAATTGAATGAATGAATTTAAGTACTTACTGGAGCATTCTTCATCTTGTTTTTTCTACGGACCCATTTTGGAAGTCCAATGGCGACCATAGGTCCGTTCTATGCAATCTTCTCAGCAAAGATCAAAGCTTGTCTCAAAAAATAGAAACAGTTGGACAGTGTATAGTACATAAAAACAAAGAACGACCATAATTAATTTGCTGAGTATGAAAACATGATTTTCAACTCAAAAATTAAAAAAAAAAACACGTAGAACGTAAAAAGAACGTAGTCACAACTTTGAATTTGCGTAAACCTTTATTGAAAATATTTGATATCACAAAAACGGTACAATTAAATGTTTTGTTGGTTCCTTAAAGATAGTAATCGAGTTCTTATTTCTATAAAATATACATTAACAAGTGATTGAATTATGGCGATAGTTGCAAAGAAGCGTGCCAGTTGTTGGACCGGGCGCCATGATATCTTGACACGGCGTTGCACGTGGATGGTCCGTAAACAGTCCTTCGCCTTCTCCGTTTTCTGTCGCTTCGCGACTCCTTTTTATGTGGATTTTTTGGCACTTGAGCGCATGCGCGGAGCCTCGATACCAGGAGCTGCACCTTTATTATTACGGGCGCGAAGCCTTGTTTCCAGACGCGTAGGATTCTTCGCGAACTTCGCGTGGGCGTAAGGAAAATCATAGGCGTACTTGTGAAATATTTATTAAGAATCGAGAGGAATCGAAAAGCAGGCGATCGAAAAATAAACAAATAACTGGTTATCAGGACAATCGTTCTCGAATATTTCTTCGAGTCGCATAAGTTAGATCGAAACTTCTTTATAGCAGTATTTTAAATATTACTAGTATTTATTATGTTTCGTCACGGAAGTAGTTATTGTACTTTGTATCGGAAGAAAGGGCCGCCTCTGGCTCTGTATAACTATAAATGGCCGTTTATAAGCGAAGTCGGTGGATTACTGTACCATACGGCGATAATGTCCTCGAAATGGGTCCAAACTATAATCCATTTCAAGCTTTTTACACTTTCCACGATCCCTAATAAAAACTTTGGTTGTTATGGTACTTTACTTTGAAGAGAGTTTCCACTCTCGGATTCGGTACGAGAAATCGTGGATAGAGGAAAGTCGTCGGGACACAGATGATTAAAAACCACTAGGGAGGAGCGAACTTGAAAATGAAGACTGGAACGGTTCGTTTAGTTTTATGACAATCTCGAACCTGATTGCTACATCGCTATGGACGAATACGCGTTGCCCAATCCGCCTAACGTTACTATACCACCGGTTTCCAGCGATTTCGAAAGTGTGGTCACTGCTTGGAGACTATACCATCGTTAACAAAAATGTTTAGTCTACTCAAAAATATCGTTTTTAGTATTCTAAATGAATTCGTTTTATGTGACCAAAGCTGGAGACATGACGGAGATAGATTATGGTTTATGGAT